ATCACAGTGTAGAATTCTGTGGTTTAGGGTGAACGCAAAATTTGGTGAACGCGCACCGGGTGAGAATAGCTACAAGACTCGCCTGCACTATTCTCACTCCGGATGAGAATCGAGGTGGCCCTTACAATAACAACTTCAAATCAAATCTCTTGAATTTAAATCTCTAAATCAAGATCTAACTCAAAAAGAATAGTCTAGATCAAGAACATATCAAACGCTTTACAAGGTGTTTGAGGAATGCCGCAGTTGTCACAGGTAGCAAAGATAAACACGCCTACTTTCAAGGATGTCAAATTTCTTTTGAAGAAGATTCCGATTGTTCCGGTTCTAGAGTTGCTTTGTTTTCTTTTTGGCTCGAGTCCGAAAACAAGGAAATTGCCATATTCTGACTAATCCAGAGCCAAGGAAAACAGACCTTGACAAGTCCAACCCACAAGAACTAACCAATCCTTGGCCGAACAAAATGATTTTTATTACCTTTGAATGTAAAAATGTACGAGGTGCAGCACAGATAACGGGTCGACTCACTTCAAACGCTAAGACGCTGATTTTCTTCGTCCGACATTTTTTCCCTTATCATAAACTCAAATGAGCAGTGCGGTTTCTACTTGCTTTTGTCTTCTTCCTATTATTTTCACCGAGCAATATCAATGGAGGAGACCATTTTCCAGCATATATTGGTACTCTCCCTTGTTTCCTTCCTCAACATGGCGGCCGTATCCAATGTAAGCAATGGTGTCAATACACGCATTATTTTGAACAGTCATAGTCATGGTTCTTTCAAGTTGTTGGAGATGGAAATGAAATTCAGCTGGCTAAATTAGGGATAGATAGTCATTGATATCTAATTGATATGCTCCTTTTTAGATCCACCTAACACGTTGCATAAATAGAGTCTTGATCGAGTCTTGCAGTTTATCATTTATGACTGGACACTGGTCCTACGATTGGACAGAATTTACAACATAATATGATACGAAGTGATTATTGATATTGGGAGTAATTTGGCATTATTAGGAGTCGACTCCTAATCACTTGGCGCTATTATATTAGGAGTCAGAGATTACATACGACCAAGTCATGACAAAATTATGGTGGTTTGCGCTTTTTTAGGATCGAAGTGTATACAGACCCGGTAACCTGGAACAAAGTCACGAAGTATACAGACCCGGTAGGGGAACTCTTTTGTGATTTCGGGAAGTTTCAGCGCTCAGACCCGGTAGAAATCTAGTGTGTGTGTGTGTGTGAGAGAGAGAGAGATAGAAAGAGAGAGAGAGGTGCTGTCGAAATGTAATGACATGCCCCAGTTGGCAGGAGGGAACGAGAGAAAGATAGGGTGTGAAATAGGTGGGGACAAAGGAAGACAGAGACAAACAAAGAAAAAGAGAAGGCAATCGATACAGAGAGAGAGAGAGAGAGAGAGAAATAGAGAGTTGACTGCTTGATTGAAATTATGACATTGTTCATTTCTTCAAAGGCCACCTCTATTCTCACCCGGGGTGAGAATAGTGCAGGCGGGTCTTGTGGCTATTCTCACCCGTTGCGCGTGTCAACAAATTTTGTGTTCACCCTAAACCACAGAATTCTACACTGTGATAACAGAAAAATTGTAGAATTCTGTGCTGTGAACAAACGTTCCATTACAACTGTACTTGTAGCCTACTAAAAGCGTACAATTTTGTCTGTGGGCAGTGGAGAGAGAGAGTGAGAGAGAGAGAACAAAACAAAATGGCGACCCGCGTAGTTCGGCTCGATTCGAAAAGTTAAATAGCCGTAGCATCTTTGTAGACAACCAAATTAATTTACTTTTGTGTTTTAACATCATTTTTTAACTTTGTTTTGGTCAATTTGATCGTCCACACCGATAGACAGTATTCAGAAAGAGACAGAGAGAGAGAGAAGAGGGGAGGAGTAGATCTTGCGAGAACTTCCGGGCGGGTGAGAATAGCCACTTTCTTCTTCAAATTGCGACTTGCGATTCCTCCAGCTCCAAAACGGAGGAAAAACGATCGTTCATCGAAAAGACATCCGCAATCTTCATTTAGATCTAGATCTAGGCTAACCGCGAAACTAGATTAAAGATTTATGTCTGTCTGCCTAGATCTAGATCTAGACCTAGGCCACAGATCTAGAACTAGAAGAACCTAGCTCTACCCTGAGCCAAGAGGGCGCAAAAACTCTCCGAAATCACAAAAGAGTTCCCCTACCGGGCCTGTATACTTTGTGACTTTGTTCCCGGTTACCGGGTCTGTATACACTCCCTTTTAGGATAGGTAGAGGTGTAGGTTAGGATGGGTCTCTTAATACAAGTTAGGAGGCCTATAAATTACTGACGGCACTTGAGCCGCGCCGCCCCCCACGGCTCGGCGTAGCGAATGAGTTAAGGGGGTATAGGGTGCTTGCCCCACTGATTATGGTTAAGTTTTAGGTTAGTTTCTTTTTGTTTTTGTATTTTTCTTCCGTTAAAAATATGTGCGAAATGAAATTAATCGTTATTTTGTTTTTTTCTCTTCATTCCTTATCCGCGACCACGGGTTCACAAAAAAAATGAAAGTAGACTGATGCAAAGGAAGCCGCTCTTGTCCACGGTGGCAACTCAAACTCAAACTACGGAAGTCCTCCCTTTTATGCAAATGAGGTAGATTCGGTTCTGAAAGTTTTGTTTAGTTTTATTTTTTTAAGCAGATCGAATCAGCTGTCGTACAATTTTGCGGAGAAAGTTCAAGGAACCTTGACAAAACCCTTCAATGCATAAAACAATTCCGTTTTTGTGACTCCATTTAATATCAACTGATTAAATTTGCAGTCGACTCCCAGAATAACCGGTTGACATTATGGGGAGTCGACTCCGTGAGCTAATGATAAAGGCAGATATATGTTACAATAATACAGTTACTTGATTAATTATTATACATGTTAACACAATCTTATTTGATTTTGAATGACGACTTATTCTTATAACTAAATCTATGCCATAATACTAAAACTAGATGTTTACAATCATAATAAATATAAAATGGTTACTGTACGTCAGTACTATATATACTAGTTCAATTCAGTAGGCCAAGCATTATTTATTGTCATTATACCGTAGTACACTTCCTGCCTATACTAACTGTCTGAGTAGCCCTACCCTGAGCTAGAGAAGCCAAGCAGAAAAGTCAGGTAGGTTTGTTTTACCCGCGTAAGGCTGGATACTACACAATCATTGCGAAAGTTAGCCTAGAGTCTATGATTTAAGCTCTCCAATTTGTAGGGAACAAGGAATTTAAACTTACTTTCTCATTCCTCAATGAATGGTCTGCCCCTAAATTGATCCCAGTTGAAATTGAATAAGAAAGCTCATAAGAAACTATACTAGAACCTAGAAGCTGTAAACATTTTATTAAACTCGAATCTTAGCCTATATTTTCTGAGGGCAAAGTTCTCTATTTATGTGTTTTGTTAAAGTATCCAAATATGTAACATTAGTACATATAATAATAATCATGCAGCAAGCTTAGAAAACAAGTGATCTGGTGCGAGTAGGCCTACATATAATTATAATCATGCAAATGTGTAAATCAGCAACAGCAGACTGAATGCAAGTCTGATCAATATTAACTACGGTACCTCCGGCAAGCTGCTCTGCTCCTTGCTGCTCGCTGTCGGAACCCCTGTGCCGTTGAGTTGCTCACAGCAGCTCGGGCACATTCCTTTACGATGACTTCGACATCAAATTACTTTTCGGCAGTTACCAAAAACAGCTGTCTCTTTTATCGGGATTTCATTCATTAGATGAAGAACTATCAAAATAGGTTCACTTGTTTTGATTTATGACCGATTTAGTGATGTTTTTGTCATTTTTAGATTTAGTACCAAAAACGGGCCCCGGCCCAGCATAGTGGCTGGTTTACCCCCTCGGAGATAAAGAGTTAATAATGGATAGTATAGATGCTTAATAAACAGCATCGCTATATATATATATAATACCCTTTCAGGATAACCCTACCCCATCTCTTTCCTGACTTCTATCATAATCCTGTTGCTGGGACATTATAGCCTACCCGATTATCCAGGAATACGCAAATCTTTATATCATAGACCCTATTATATATACCACTATGGTAAAATTTGTTACCAAACTTTGTCATATATACAGGCCTATAAGACACAGATGTTTATCCTTATCTTCCAGATCATGCAAGCATGTAGTGTTGTGGACATCATGCATTAAGATGGATTCCCAAGATCCTTCAACTGTTTGTGCAACTTTTATACTGCAGAATCTCTAGGACAAAATGAGAAAAATGACTGCATGAAATACAGTTAAAAGACAGAAGACAATTGCTCTTCTTGTGTCCAAGAAGACATCTAAATTTTATGCTGAGTTTCTGATTAATTTCATTTGTTGATCATGGCCAAAACAAATCATTTTTCTACTCTGGGTGTCAGACTTGGTGCCTCTGAAGATGAAATCAAAAAAGCATACCGTACTCTGGCCAAAAAATGGCATCCAGACAAGAACAGTGCTCCAGGAGCGAAAGAAAAATTCCAGGAAATTGCAGGTGCTTACGAGTATCTCTCCAGTAAGGATCGTCGTGAGATGCATGAGCGTGAATTACGCAGAGCAGCGGCACCACCACCGCAACCGCAACCGCAACCGCAAACACAACCCCCTCGGCCCCCACCAGCAGCTTCATCGAAACCTTCTCAACCTTCACAACCCAATCAGCAGAGGCCAAAAACACCAGGGACAAAGAGCACTGGGAAGACACCTTCTACTGACAAGGGAAAATCAACGTCCTCAAATGCAAAAAAGCCTAATGCAGCATCTTGGTCTGAAACTTTCACGAAGAATTTCCGCCAACAGCAGCAAGCTGGGGGAGCTGGTAGGCAGAATGGGAGAAAATTCTACTTTTCTGCTGGTAAGTGATTTTGTGTTGTAAAGTGAAGTTGTTTTAGTGTGTTGAACTACATTTTAGATGCATTGTCTTCCTCTCAATTGATATGGAGGAGGGGAGTGGCCGGGTGTACTTCACTACAAATAAAAATAGCAAACCTTACATTTAGTGGGTGATTCGCAGGTGCCCTAGTGTAGTTTGCTCTTTTTTTCCTATCAAACATCTTTGTCCTTATCTTTTCTCCTTCTTTTATTTGTATGTTACAGCTCTAATCTTCGGCATATAATTGACCTGATTGTGTTGCAAATGGCATAAAATTCTTATTAAATTGTTTCGTTAATACTTAAAATAACATTGTTCTTTTTCGCTAGATGGCATCCTGGAAATCTCTTTTCATAATATTTTAAAACATGTGAAAAGTTACAAATTAAAAAATAACCTTGGAATTCGTTCATTGTGAAATCCTCTTTCCTTTTTTTACCCTTGGTAGGCCTACTCTTCACCTCTCCGTATGTAATCAATTATTATTACTATTACTTTTCTGTGCAGAGGCAGGCCCAGGCAGGGCAGGTTTTTCTTTCACGTACGAGAACAAGAGAGCACCCAACGGATCGTCACCATCTCAAGCAGATAACATCTTCACTGAACTGTTCTCCGATATCTTCAATGCTATGGGCTTTGCAGGTAACGCCCTGTCTTGTTTCTGTTTTTGGTTGGTAAGAAAAGCAAAAGACAGAAAGATGCCCAGGTTTTCAGGGGTTTTTTTAGACTGTTTAGGTTTGGTGGCCCAATGTTCATTTTAGGGTTAGATCCTGTTTAAACAGGCTTGTAGTTGTGTGAAAAATGACAGAGAAACAGTAGCTAAAACAGGATATTTGAAGAAAAAGTTACATGGTTGTCTAAAGTTAGACTGAAAGTTGTTTATATGTTAGTTGGGGTTTTCGGATAAGGGGATTCCCCTTTCTAAATTCATAGAGTTGTTGAGCTATCCCCAAACACTTTGAAGAAAAATGTAATGTGAAAAAAGATGTACCTTGTATTATGGAAAATTTGGCTGATGTACTAAGAGAAGGGGAGGAGGGGGGGGAGACGGACAGACTGAATTTTTTACACTGTCAAATATCTAAGTTCTACACATTCCAAAAAGCTCTACTTTTTTGTTGTTCTTTTCATTCATCATTCACTCTCCACATTGCCTGCTAGGCCAGACAAGCCACAGTGGAAGCTCTAATCAGGCCCCGAATAAAAAACCTCGTCCTAGGAATGTTGCTCCAGAGAGAGGGAATGCTGCTGAGGACCTGGATGAAGAATACCTCTTTACACCCAAAAACAGAGGAGGCAATGGTGAGCTTCTAATGCACCTAATGATTATAACAATAATAATAATAATAATAATAATGATAATAATAATATTGATAATAAATAAAATTTTTGTTGATCCCAGAAAGGCAATTTGGTTTACAGGAGCAAACATACTTACATAAATACATAGCTATAAATACATACATACATAAATACATATATATACATATATACATACATAAATACTCAATTACGCCAATACAAAACAATTTCACAAACATGCAATTGCTGGTTGCCACTGTGCGGCACCCTGTAAGCCTATCGGTGCTAAAGTGTTCCCATTCACATTGGTATATGCAAGAAAAAAAATGTTCATTCAAGAGATGTTAAAACAAAACCTACATATGTTTCCCCTTATTAAGAATAAGAATCTACATTATATGCGAATTTGTCTTCTAAAAATATATCCTCAATAAACCAGTTGGAAAAATGGCAGAGGACAAGTTTGGGAAAACGTAAATGAGTACGACATCCACATAATAGTGATGTGGTTTAGAACATTGTGCACATTTTCACTCAAAACTTGCTGATACAAAGCAGGGAATAGGTTTATGACTTTAAATAGTAAATGTTCTTTATACTGCAATTCAGGTGATATGTTTCTATTTATATTTTAATGGTTGCTGTAATATTAATGGTTTGGGGTTTATTTTCTTATTTGATCATCACTTACATCTGTAGAAATGCGACAAAATGAGTTGCTTCTCATTGTCAGAAGTTATCAAGTATCAAACAAGACCTCAATTTTCGTATAACTCTGTGTTTCTTAATCCCCTGATTTAGGTAGGCCTATATATAGCTAATTGGAGATTTGTTTTTCCACTCAGACTCAGGTGAGGAGCTGCCCTGCCCATGGTGTGGTCAGAAGTTCACCCGGGGAAAACTGGTAAGACTCAGTGGACTAATTTGGAGAGTTAGGCTTGTACCTATGCTCACACAGGCACCAACACTAGTGTGTTAAGTCATGAACTGGCTAGAAGACTTATACAGATGGACACAGTCACAGAAGGTTGCATACCCATTTCAACACACCCACATATTCACACACACACACGCACACACACACACACACACACGCACACACATACATATACACTTTTTTCCTTTTTCTCTCCCCTCTTTCCCTGTCTCTGTCCCTGTCTTTCTGTCTCTGTCTCTGTCTCTGTCTCTCTCTCTCTCTCTCTCTCTCTCTCTCTCTCTCTCTCTCTCTCTCTCTCTCTCATTCAATGAGGTCCTTATGAAATGGCAGCATGTCTAATCTTCTCATCCAAAACCATGACTACAGAGCTTATTCCAGAGGCATCCACTTTTTTTTATTCAAGAGAAACAATCAAAATGATACCTATTAACAATAGTATTTTTAAAACTAATTCCCTAAATATATTTACGTTGTTGATTCATTTCAAAACTAAAATGAACTTGAGAGGGAGGGGGGTTGGGGTTGTTTTTTTTGGGGGGGGGGTTTGTTTGTTTGGTTTGTTGTTTTTGGTTGTTGTTGGGGTTTTTTTGGTGGGGGGGTATTTTGGAGGCATTGTGTTCATCAATGTTTGTTACATCCCTGTGCCTGAAACTGATCACTAAGAGTAATTAAATTGTAGATGTTTTACGCCGCCATCGATACAGTTTAGACAATTTAGGGGGCAGGCTGCTTCAGCCCTCCATATCAGGGCCAACACAGTTTGAGAGGGATAAAAAAAACTGTGTGATTAATAAATTATTTTTTTTAGAATCCTAGTCACTTTTCCCTACTGGGGAATGATCGTTCTTTTTCCCATCGTGATTTAATTGATTTTCATTTATAATTTCCACCAATAAGTGTTCAAAGCTTTACACGAATATCATTGGTTACCATGGAATATTTTGCTTAAAAGGAAGCTAAAAATGGAACTTATACATGTAAAGGTGAGATTACTGTAGGTAGTAATAGTTGACCCATTTTGAATTGCTTAATCTTTAAATTATAGTATCCTCTGGTAGTAAATAACACAATGAGAAAAACTGAGGTGATCTAGAAAACAGACGACAGAAAGGAGTGGGGGTACCATGATCATTAATGTCTGCTCCAGACCTGACACCTGCAGAAGATTTAAGGGGAGACCCGGGTCGGCGATCCCAGGCACTATCGATAAAATTTGTCAAACTATCCAACTTTCCTTTTTTTGCAAAGAAACATCATTTGACATCTGTTCTATCGGGTCGCAATGAAGAAATTGTTGAAAATTCACCCTAAATGACCTAAAAGGGCTTTTGAAAAGCTCAAATTGCTCTAAAAATCCTTTTAAAAATCCCTATTTTGTCTGTTTTTCTCAATATCTACTTTTTGACATATGTGACCCCCTTGGTGCATGGAGTTTTCAAAAACTACTGAAGCTAGAAGCTTCAAATTTGGCGTACAGGTGCTTTAAGATATATTCTGGAGATCTAAGTGAGGGAATTGGGAAATATTGGTAAATTGTGGAAATAATCAAATTTTTTGTAATATGTACCCCAAAATTTCGTCAACTGACTCTCGGGGGTCCAATGACTGGGCTCACTTTTTTAGTTTTAAAGATAGGTCAAAATCCTCACATGGATCCCCAGTTCATATACGTTTGTACTTGTGTGCCAAACTTCAGGCTGATAATTCAATATCTACTATGAACTTTTTCTGCACTAAGAAACTGGTTTGATAATCCAAGATGGCCACCACAGAGACCCATTTTTCAGAAAAATTCAGCAAATTCACTCTTAGTTTTACGTCTCCCCTTAATGTATGGTTTTTGCTGATTGTCTTGTTCACTACAGTAATCTGTGTACTGCAACCAGAATCTGACCTCATTCCCTGGATTTGTTTACTAAAACAGGGACAACACGAAGAAAAATGCGGTAAATTTGGTCTCAGCGGTGATGAAGATGATGACGGCCTCTCCGACAATGACTATGATGATGACGATGACGATGGCTTGTACGGCAGCAGCCTTTATCAGCCTTACACCACTCACTTGGGCCCAGGCCGGCAGCCAAACTGGCAGCAGCAACGAGATGATTTCCTGCACCAGGTCCGGCGAGATAAGCTGCGACACAGAGACAGAATGGCTTCTCAAGGAACAAGAAACTCTGGTGAGCTGCCCGTCTCTCAGTGTCACATCTCTCATCAGAATTCAATTAAATTTACTGCAAACAAATCTCTTTTTTTTTGTACTTCAATGTAGGTGTTTTTATGCCCCCATTGACACAGTTTAGATCGTTTAGGAGGCAGGCTTCCAACCCTGCAGTTAGAGCAATCGTTTTAAGACTTTATTATTTTTTTTAATAACTACATCTGTTACCTTTTGACATAAAAATGTAAGATTGGTTCTTTTCTATCTCTTATATTCCTTAATGACTTTATTGAACACTGCTTTTACAAGCAACTATTTTATAATAATATAATCTTTCTATTGTTTAGAAGAATAATTTTTGTGTTGTTAAGAAGTGTTCTTTCCTTTTAAGATATGGTGCGAAATATTTTCCTTTGATAAGCAATGAAGCTGTATAAACAATGTATGGAAACTGTTATTCACTCGATAATAGCTTCTTTATTTTGCAGTTATATTGAAGAATGTCAATGAGTTCTAATTTACTCATTTTGTATATTTTTGTTCACTGTTTTTGCATACCTTTTTATCTATGAATGGTATTTAGTCATCACAGTCCTTTTGTTTTTTGCTTTATTTTCTAGGCTACATAAAATGTCCTTATTGTGAGCGTTCCTTTAATCAAGTGACTGCGGTCAAACACATGCCTTGGTGCAAGGAGCATTTACGTACATACGGACGACCGATGAATCCTAAGTACTCCTCTTCCACTGGACAAAAGACGCAAGACAAAGATAGTCCCAGACAGAGGGGACGAGAGGTGAGATGCTGGGGTGGGAAGGGGATGGAAGGATTTAGACAGTAAAAAATACAGCAAAACCATTAAAACGTGAATTTTACATGATGAAAGAATTCTTTCATGTCAAGCTGAGTTTGTGTTTACTGAAGTGGAAATGCATAGAGTACAGGAGGGGGCTAAAAACTAGGATTTGAAACCCTTTTGTTATAACCGGGATTTTGTGCTGAATGGCTCCATGTTAATCAAAGTCCTCTGCTCTATGTCTTTTGGTTATTTTCATTTTTTTCTAGAGTTTTGACGTGGCTGGTTGACCGGTGCTCTGGTGTGGTTTGCTTGTTCTTTGCTATAAAACATCTATCGTCCTTATCTCTCCTCATATTTTTTTTTGTTCGCTACTCTCTTGTAATACCTCTAATTTTTTGTGAATGACATCACAGTGAAAAGGGAACTATTTGTGAAATGTTCTAAAGAGTAAGTTCAATTACTCTCTCTTCATTTCTACAATCAGATCAGACACGGACAAATATTTTGTGGATGTTTGGCGGGTTCTCTGGTGTGGTTTGCTTCTTCTTTCCTGTGAAACATCTATCGTCCTTATCTCCCCTTCTTCTTTTTTAAAAAATGTTTGTTACTGTCTTGTCACACCTCTACTCTTCTGGCGCTCATATGACTTTACGCTGTTGTGAGCGACGTAAAACCTCTACTAAAACCAAAACAAATTTTTTGATGAACTGTATTTGTAGTGTTGAGGTCTATGTAGGCTATCATTTTTGTTTTAATTCTGTTTTGAAAATTGAAATGAAGTACAGTGGAAATTTTCCAGGGTGGCCAAACATATGTCAAGACTGGTGGATATCCTTGTTGTGAGCTGCTGCTAAACATTACACGCAATTATCTAGGAATTATGATTTCAAGTCTATACTTTGCTTACAGAGGAAGGTTAGAAGGTGAATGTAGTGCACGGAGAAATTTATGCAAATTTTTATATTTCACGTGGAGATATCAGCTAAGGCCTATATAAATATTTCACGTGTGAAATATAAGGATTAATTATTCAGAAGTGCAATGCTAAAACAACTCCAGGTTTGGTATAAAAAAAGCTTTAACAGTGTCATTACATTATTGTGTATAATATTTTTTAAATCTTGTACAGTACGTGTCATGGAAAGTGGTTGTTTGTGCCGGCGGTTGTTTAGACAAGTGGCCTTACAGAAGGAAAAGTTTTTAGGGTAAGTCAGGCTAATTTCTACCGGAAAGTGATTTGTCAAAGTGCACAATTTTGTCCCCCTTTTTTTTGTCATTTCAGTATGCCAAGACAGTGCCAAAGCCTTCAACGAGAATAGGTAGGAAAGTTCATATTTTTCGATTTCGCATAATTTGCTTGGTTTTTGGATGAGATTTTTTTAATGATATGGGAAAGGCAATAAAGAATTATATGGGGAATGTTTTAAGGAAATCTTTATTTCATCAGCACCTTCTCACTCTTAATCTGTCATTTATACTTGTTGCTGAAATTATGGAAATTTTGTAAGAGAACAGATACAAAAGAGAGCTGAAATGTTTTTCGTACAATGTTTGCTCGTATTTCATTTTTTGGAATTAAGTCAAAATTGGCTTTAGAGTACACAGTGAAGTCTGTTTTCTGCAGGACTGCCCGATTTTCTTTGGTTCAGTCATGTTTTCTGTTTAGAGAGATTGCCCAAGTAGCAAAGAAAAATGTTGGGGATTCTACTTCCTTTTGGTTTACCGCTGTTTTTGGATTAATCGTGTTTGGTTTAAGTGGAGTCCTCTGTATATATATATAATATAATATATATATATATATATATATATATATGTATATGTATATATATATATATATATATATATATACACATTCTAAAATGGTTGTCCTTTACAAGTTAACATTAGTGAAGGTCCCCCCTGCCAACAGAACCATTTTCTCAGGACTTTAATTGTCGAACACAGTGAAGAAATATCATTATGTAGCAGACTTGACCTTGGATGTATGTGGGATATGTTATGGGGTGCATTGCTTTACCTAAACTAGGAAAAGTGATATATGGAAAGTATTAATATTTACCACAACTTGGAGATATGATATGTAGAATGTATTTCTAATGTATACAAATGTGTTACTATTTATTTGAACCTGGATGTGTGATATGTTGAATGTAGTCCCTACTTATCTCAAAACAAGAGCTTTCTCATATAAATACATCCTGAAACTTTCTGAAACAAAACATAGTTACACTTTTTCATACATTTTCCTGGGTGAATGGAATTTTTAACTTTCTTTTTGATTTCCTATCTTTTGTAGTTGATTCGGATGAATCTTTCAATGAGGAAGATTTCGACTTCAGCAGCAAGAAAACTCCAAAAGATGGAAATGAACGAAAATTTTCTTACAGCAGGTAATGGATTCAATTAAGTTTTATGTCACTGCTGTATGAGACTACCTCTTAAGAATCTATGTTATCTTAATTTCAAGTTTGAAAAACTAATGCATTCTAATATTTTTTAGTTATTTTTTTGCTGGATCAAAACGGAATAAGATTTTGAACGCATGTGTTAGCTATGATTTCTTCAATTCACTCTAAGTAAGTAATTGGACTAAAAATGTTAATCAATTGATTTTAGTCTTGGTGGGGACTTCTTGTATGAAATGATCATTGGAAAGGTTTACGTTCACTTGAAAACAGTTTGATCAGAAAAATGTTACTGGCAAATTGTTCTACAAAAGTGTTGAACGGTGACACACCGACAGCTCATTTGGTGTCCATGCTTGACTACAGTACAGATAGCCTTGGTCTTTGTTCCCACCAGAGCGTTCTTAAACTTTTTTGTTTTTGTTTTGGTAGGTTTTAAAGCATTCCACTTGCAGAGAGCATCAGATTCAGAGATTTCCCCTTCAGTGCAGTGCTACTGACTGGAGTGTCTTTAGGCCATTCCCAAAGGGGATTTGCATGTTCTTATTCACAGTAGAATGGTAAATGGGCTGATTTATCAATTTCATGCTCATACTGTGCCGGATCGACGTAGGGGGAACTGTTGCTTTTTCCTTCTTCATTACTTTCGTCATTTTTCCTCTGCTTCTTTTGTAAGTTTGTCACTCTCTTACTTGTGAACTGCTATTTCCGGAGTGCCTTGATAGTCAAAGCAGACTTTGAGCTGTTGAGGCTAGAGAGTAAGTCTGATTCCCCGTTTGGACTTCTCTGTTGACATCAATCCCTTGGCGCTCATATGACCTAATGCAGTTGCGAGCGCCATAAAACCTTACTAAAACGAACAAAGATTCAGAGATTCTGTATTTTACACTCTAAGCGTTGCTAAAAAATAGCTTGTTGTGTCTGGGGATATTATAAGATTTTACTATGATGGAAAATTGTTGAGAACAGGCAAAACATGCACGTTCAGACCATGAACTAATACATTTTCAGAAAGCACAATGGAAATAGACATAAAACTTATTTGTGGAGGAGTTGAAATGTTTGGTGATATTTTAAAAAATTGATAGATTAACTAAAATAGCAACTCATAATTGCAGCTGATTAAATCGACTGCAACACCACACTACGTAACTTACAGCTGATTTAATGAGCCATCAACACAAGGAGGATTAAATCACTTGTTGCCAGCTGTTATACAAGTTGGAAGCATCAGCAGGAAGTATACCTCTCCTGTTATATATGGGTTGTGTGCAAAAGCATGAAGAATGCTGCTGGGATTTATGCGGGGCCATAAACAACACTTTCTTATTTGCTAAAAAGAAATCAACGGTAGTTATTTATTTAGTAAGGGTTATGGGGTACTGTGATGTTATATGAAAAGCAATCTCTCTGCGATCAATATATTGGATATTGATAATTTATACAAATGATGAGATTAATACCTAAAGTTGGCCCCTCTTAAGGGGAGATGTACACTTCCTCAAAAATTTTCTGAAAGAATTACTTTTATTCACTTTCATGTAATTGTGCAAAAAATTCATTGGTAAATAGAAAGTATTAAGGGTGAATTTGTTGACATTTTTTTTTATGGATCTCTTGTGGTGGCCATCTTGGATTTTCAAACCAGCTTCTTAGTGCTGATAAATTTCATAGAAAAAATTAAAACATATCAGCCCGAAATTTGGCACACAAGTTCAAACCTATATGGACTGTGGATCTATGAAAGGATTTTGACCTATCTTTAAAAATAAAAAATGAGCCCAAAGTCAGTGGACTCCAATGCAACAGTCAGTTGTCGAAACTTTGGGTTAGGCTATATGTTAGAAAAAATTTGAATACTTCCTCTAGTTACCAATATTTCTCTCACAGATCTCCAGAATTGATTTTAAAGCATTTGTACGTCAAATTTAAAGCTTCTAGCTTCTAGTTTTTGAAAACTCCTTGTACCAAGGAGATCACATATATATGTGAAAAAGTAGATTTTGTTACAGAAAAACAATTTTTTAAAGAGGATTTTTAGTTTAATGCACAATTCAGACACAGTTTTAGCTCATTTAGGGTGCTTTTTCAGAAGAGATGTTGAAGAATGTTTTTCCGCAAAATACAAAAAATCAATATTTTGAAAAATTGTACCAATATTCCTTGGGATTGTTGACCTGGTTCTTCCCTTAAAGTGACAATTTAGAAAAGAGCCATTATACTTATCCAACACTTCTTTATCTGAAAGAATTATATTGTTATGGAATGTAAAGTTGTCTCTTAATTTATTTTATTTCAGACCTCGAATGTCAAAAGAAGACGAGTTTGAAATCCATGGTGCCAGGTTCGGAACCTCAGAACATGATGAGACTGTCTACGCTAACCCAACCCCAAGGTCACGGGGGTCAACACAGGGGTCAATGCCCTCCACTCCTGGGACGTCATCGTCCACAAAACAGGGACAGTCAAGGTCGTCCAGTGATAAAACAAGAGGTTCAAACAAGGCCACATCTTACGGTGCTCGTGGCGGGTACAGCCGGACACGCGGTGGACATCAGAGCTCAGGAAGTAGTTTCCGACCGCAGAAATATTAGGACAAGGGGATGAGGTGGGCGGGGGAGGGGGGAATGTGTAATTTTAACTACAGTAGTTTTAGGGCGTGGGGGGAGGGGGGGGAAGGGATTAATATAGGACCACGGAAGTTTTAGGACATGTGGGTGGGGGGGGGGGGGGGGGGGGGGGTTAATATAGGACCACAGAAGTTTTAGGACGTTAGAATTCATGGAGTATTTTCTGATCACCAGAGATTCAAGTCATGCAGGGGACGTCGCGATTCAAGGAGTATTTTCTCATCACAGAAGTTTTAAGACACAGAAGGCACACCAGAGGTGTTGGACATCCGAGTTCAGGAGGTAGTTGTCGACCACAGAAGTTTTAAGGTTATTGGGCCTTATTTGAACAATGTTTCATACTGTGATAATGTTGAAGTTGTTTGAAATGATATGAGATGTGATTTTATTGTATTCCTTGTTTTACAGTATTTATTAAATTATATTTTTTACTTTTATCTTTTATTTGTCTTATTGTAGATCATTTTGGAAGCAATCAAAATATCTTTTACAGTGTTTGCTTACTTTTATTTCCAGAACCCTAGAGGATAAAGTCCTCTGTCTGTTCACTTACTGTAAAACCATGATGACACAAACTTCATGGGACCAGAAAATTTCTTTGTGTTAAGCAAATTTTGTGTAAAGGAAAGTTGCAGTGTATAGAACAAAAAAGTGAAAAAAAACCAACGATTTGCAATCCATTCATGGTAACAATTAGCCTTTTGTGTTAAACGGCTTTGAATCCAACAAAGTCAATTGTATTAAGCTTTTGTTTTATTCTTCACACTTGTATAGGGCTTTCATAAACTATTTGTCTCAATCCATGAGAACCAATATATATATATTCCGTCCGATATATCAGTATGTATTACATGAAGCTACGGCGAGCACCTAGCGCACCTCTGTGATTGGCCCAAATATAGATGACGTATTTCTGCCATTTATATTTGTCGTCTTCCTGGGTTTCCCCCAAGACTCTTTGGTTTCTCTCGCCAGTAACTGTTGACTAGATGTCACCATATTTTTTTGTTTTTTGTGTTTATCAGTGTTCTTTTATAAACAATCTCAGCATTTCTCGTTCCATTAATTTACCTCCTCGACAAAGTTTTACACAAACACACACTCACACACACACGCACCCATAAACACACACATGTGCGCTTGCACACACATACACACAAGCGCGCATACACATGCACGCACACACAAGACTCAAGTGCGCGCTCATGCACACACACACAGCCCAAGCAGTCGGCAATGAAACCAACCAAGTAACGTAGCCCATCGCGCCCTTTACGACAAAGCAGGCCCACAACGGTGAGGTCTAGTCAACTGGCGAGGGAAGCCCTGGAAGACAACAAAAATAGGTGGCTGAAATACGTCATGTATATTTGGGCCAATCACAGAGGTGTGCTACATGCTGATTGCAGCTTCATGTGCATGTATTCCATAACATATAATATTATGTATTGTTTATGGCTTACTTTTTATCCTGGTGCTAATATATGTGTTAATGACTCAGATCTTTCTGAGTAAGGAACGCGTGAATAAGTTTAGTTCCTGTGTGTGTTTGCATGTCAATGGGAACTTTTTATGTGCTTGTTGTTTCCAGTGCCTGTTACTTGAATATATTTGTGTCGCGACACGCAGTGGAATCAAACGTTCGTCAATTTTTGGGCTTGTAAAATTATTGGCTTGTTGGTTTTTTTTATGAAAAGAAATATATATTTATCATGGATACAAGTCGAGATATTGGCGATTGAAGGAGATGAGGGTCACCTGGTTTCAGAAGTAAAATTTGCAAGAAAATAGCCACCAAAGTTTATTATTTCCTTAGCTTGAGAATGTGTGGAAACTGAAAAGTTACTTTTTTGTGCCTTTAATCAACGGTTTTCAATAAAATCCAGACAGAAATGTGTTTTATATTGGATATGAAAGGTGTTGAGCCAAAAAACAAAAATTCGATTAAAATTCTCAAACCTGCTAAAAAATGTAATTTTCTTCACTTTCATTATTTTGCTGAGCGCCTGATTTCACCACTGGCGTCTCACATTTGTCCTAGTTTACGGATGGTGTATGTACTGTGTATAATCACCTGTAATACAAGCGATTCAAAAAAATTTTTTTTAAATGAGGTCTAAAAACTGTACCCACCCTACTTCCTGTGATTTTGGAGTCAAAGTATACGCCTCCGTATATTTCTCGAGGTTGTGTTATAGACGAGAATACAGTACGTATATTTGTCTATTTCAAAGGACTTCTACGCATGTATGCCAAACCTGTTAAACAGATAAAAATCTGAATACTACATTGCACCCATTAATTTTTATGACATATACCTTTATTTTGAACCCATACTTTCTTTATGTGCACATTGATGAGTATGGAACTTCTATTCCTATTCCAGAATTTTAAAAAACATTTTTTAGTAAGTGTTTTACAGTGCTCGCAACTGCATAAAGTCATATTAACGCGCGGGGTACATTAAAAATTTTGCGGTTGGTAGGAAATTTTGGATTTTGCCCGGGTGGTGGCTGAAGCGTACTCTTATCGATTTGAGACCTCCAAGGGATCTTTAATGTGCGCAACGTGCACACGGACCTCAAAGATTTTTCGCTCTTGTCCGAGAAGGCTAGGTGTAGATATTTCCTACCAGAAAATCAGGGGTGTGGCTGAAAGACAGCAGTAAGGAGGAGCCGAGGAGTAACAGTAGAAAGGCAGCAGAAAGAGTCAGGAGCCCAGAGGAGGGGGCAAGGGAGGTGAGGGGGTGGGCGCAGAAAGTGGAGACGGAAGCAGACAACAGAACATTGCTAGAGAGCAGGAAAGGAGGTGAAAGGATGAAGTTTTAGAGAAGAAACTTTTTCGGTCGCTAACTGGATTCGAACCCGGGACCTTTGAATGAGAGGCAAACACCTTAACTTGTAAGCCATGAGAGCCCCCCCCCCCCCCCCCCCCCTCTTCCTTAATAATTTAGAACTTAAATGACTAACATTTTGGGCTTTTTTGTCCCCTTTTTGCTTATGTTTGCCCTCCCTGTCATTCCTTAGTTCATAATACTCGTATATGCTCCATTTTTCTTTTTTTAATTTGACATTCACTCCATCCTTTCTTTTTCTTTACTACAGATATTACATGTGTGGCATTATGATCAAAACAGGGTTCTTCAAAATAACTGAATTAAAGAAACCAATATTTTTATTTTTATGCCCACTGGTCAATTTTTATTAAACATGGGGGGGTGTAGGGCCTCAATAACTTTTATGTCTATTATCAAAAAGACACATTTCTTCCACGTCTTGTTTATTCCAACAGGTTGTTTCCTGTTCTAGTTCTGTGATGTTGTATACTTCTTTATTGACGATCTTGGGTTTTTTTCTTATCTTTATGTTGGTGTTCATGAATAATATTCATGTATGCACAAGTTCAAGTCATTCCTGTGGGGAAGTATACTGCTGCATTAGCATTTAGCCAACGTTTCAGAAGTATGAAGACTAGAATTTTTAAGTTTTAAAAAATTGCTGTTTTTTATTCTGTTGTTTTGATTATAATTTCATGTGCTCAAAAAAGTTGTATTTTGTCTAAATGTTGAAAAATTCAAGAAATTGTGTTGTAATATATTTTCATTTTGTAAATGAATGAAAGTAGTTAGGGGTTTTTTCTTCCTCCAAAAGAATTTTTATTTTTAGACATAGAACAATTGATGTACCGGTACACATATTAATATGTTTTTTTAACCCTTTCATGAAAAAGCCCATTATGTTCATAAAAAAACCTATGCTGGCGAACAGTAATTTGTCTCAGTCTAAACTAGAATTTGGATTTTTCCATTCACTGCTAATATGTTTTCTTAAATGTTCCGACTTTGAGCTCAAAAGTTGAATGGTGTCACAGACAATTATCGACACTCAACGACAAACGCCAAAATTAGTGATGATATCGGAAATAACCACCAGGACAACAACAACACAAGAATATCAAACACAGTGAAAATAATGATAATAGATAATATATGTAATAATATCACTTTAGAAATAAGACTAGTGACAGTCACCGTACTTAATTATTTCATCAACATTCTGACACTCATTAACAAAAAAGATTTAGATTTGTGAGGCATCGTGGTGAAATCAGTCGCTCGTCAAAAGAATGAAATCAAAGATATCAGCATTTTTCCTCCAGTTTGACAATTTTTTCTACTTTTTGTTTTTTGGCTCGACACCTTTTACGTCCCATTTAAAAACATATTTCTGTGTGAATTTTACTGGAAAACATTGGTTAAAAGCACAACAGATGTAGATATATATACTTTCAGTTTCCATTGACTCTCAAGCTATTAAAGTTACCAAACGTTGGCTGCCATTTTATCGCTAATTTTACCCCTGAAACCAGTTAACCTCCACTTCGACCAATCACAAATATCTCAACGACTATTCAAGATAGGTGGATATTTTTTTTCACCAAAAGCAAGGTAAATGAACAAACTTTAAGACGATACCAAGAACTCTGTATGTCCAAAATTTGACGAGTGCCTGATTCTACCGTGGCGTGACACATGTCTTCCTCACTTCTGATTAGAAAAAAAGACTTGAACAGTCTGTTGTTTTTGTTTTTTGCTGCTGCACTGGGAAAGTTTTTGTGATTTCGAAATGTAAATTCTGAACACTTAAAGAACTTAATTCTTCTTGCTATTAGTTACAGCTATACATTTTTCTGCTGGGAAGTGGGTGGTTGGCGGGTGCTCTGGTGTGGTTTGCTCCTTCTTTCCTATCAAACACCTATCGTCCTTATCTTTCCTTCTTTTTTGTGTTTGTTACTCTCTTGTAACACCTCTAATCTTCAGCACAGTTATGACCCAAATGTATTGTAAGTGCTGTAAGACTTTTATTGAAATGTACTTTTTGCCTGGATGGTTTTTTTTTGTTTTATTCTGAGAAATTCGTTTTATAATTCTAGAATGAAGAGAGAAAAGAGTTTTTATGTACACTAC